GGAAGACCGTCCTCATCGTCAACCGCCAATCGACTCAGGTCATAGCCAACCACATCCTCAACTTCCTCTTCTCCATATACGTCGAGGTGTTTCTCCCGATACACTTCTGCTCTTCCCACGATCAAGTAACGCGCCTTTGCCTCGTGTTCGATCTTCCGAACAATCACAACGATGTCACACGCCGAGAATGTACAAACTACATCCCCTATTTTCATCTCCGGAGGACCGACACCAATCAGGTTCTGCGACCCGAGGAAGAGAATCGGCTCGGATGCGTCTAGTGTGCCATTTTCCTCTTCCGATGCAAGGATTGGGGGAATATCTGCATCCGTACCGCCCCGCCGATAGGCATACGAAGTCGCTGACCGGATCCCTTGGAGCCTCTCCAGCTGCCTTTGATCCCAGCCCAGCATGGCATCTGTGATGGCATCGTTCGCTTTGCGTACATACTGTAAGTCTTCTGCGACCAGGTATGTCTGCGCGATTGCCTGTTTCCAGCTCCTGTTCGCGCGAACTGACGAGACGAGTTCGGCGTGTGTGGGTCCCAGCCGAAGAATTTCCCCCGAGACAGAGCCCGTTGTTTCATAGAACGACTTCGACCAGTTCGGATCTTTCATCGTTCCTACTTTCTCTGCCACAGAACCGCCCAAGACGCGTTGCAACAGTTGGCTGAACTGGATCAGCCTGGTTGATGAGTAGCGAAGGTCCTTTGCGGATAGGGCGTCAGAAGGCGTGGATCGCTTCTGTTGAAACTCGAGCACCTGGGCATAGAGCTGCGCGAACGAGATACTGTAGTCGACCGTAATGGCCTGGTCAGATCCGTCGTGTGCTAAACCTAGAAACCCGTAAATCTTGTCCCGCATTTCGGAACAATCGGCCCTTTGAAAGACCCGGATGAGGTCCTCAAGGCGCAAGGTCCTCTTGTGCCGTTCTTCTCTCATCCTCTCGACCACGTCAGCTCGTCCTTCCAAGGCCTTCCACTCCGGATTCATGGTGCTCAAAACCCTCTCCCATCCGAACGAGTACCCTCCAAGGTAAAACCGGACCTCGACTGGGAGGACCATCTCCTGGATAACCCACAGGCGGGACCAATAAGGGCTATGGGAAACCACGTGCCAGTGTTCATCCGAGAAGTAATCATTCTCGACGGGCCACGGAGACGGACCTAACCAAGCCAAGACTCGTTGAGCACGAGTGTATATGAATGCCATCAGTTTGACCTGCGCATTTCTTTCGGGGATATTGTCTTGGTTGATGCAGATGGCGTCCACCCAAAGAGCACGAGGTTTCCTGCCCCGAAGATGCAGGAGTGCATTGTACAAGTTTTCGCGTACTGGAAAGGGCTTGCCGCCAATCTTGATCGTTTTTGGCACTGCCTGGGGGGTGCCCCATGTGTATGAGACAGCTTCGAATATCGGGTTGCTGTGAAAGGTTTTGTTATGAAGTTCGCACTCAATCTCACCGCCTGATGAGCGGGAGGAGGGCAAGAGGACAAGCACCCGGAGAGAGTTCACTTCGGGGTCGAGCGGCTCGTAGTTAAACATGCTTGAGGATGAACGAAAGGGCTGGAAGTTAAGCGGTATAATCTAGCAAAAAGGACACACAGGAGGTTATCGAAGCAATACGATGGTAAAAGGAAGTAGTGTTCACGCCCGCAATGCTGGCGCCGTCAGACCCGACCTGGCAGTAATACGTTTACTCTCTCAGCAAATTCAAAGGCCTGTCGGTCGGCTAAACCTCTTGTTCCGCCTTCCCAATTTCTTGTCAGCAATGCATCATGTCTCCACTTGCCTGCATCTTTGGTCGCCCCGGCTGGTCTTAGTGCCCACTGTTCTCACAAATGTTTAGAGCTGACTGGCTACAATCCGGATCATGGCTCTTGCTTGGATGATTTAACGTCGTCGCCGTATAATATTCTATTCCGGAAGTCCGTGCGAATCAATGGCAAACCAGATGGCAGGAATAACTCGTTTTTCGCCTACAAACTCGGCGAAGCAGCCTACGCGAGGCGAAACCCTTGGATCCCACAGACCGTGAGGTGTATGTCTGTAGAGGAAACCTGAAAGCCAGCTGGCAGGCTAGTGTACTATGAAAGAACGAGATATCGCTTGTAAGTGTGTCCAACGCCAAACCAGACATCGGGGTACTAGTTCAGGTACCGAGGGTTGAAGATAACTTCTAGTAATTTATCCCGTTATAGGACCTTTTAGAGCCAAGCGCTTGTAGAGCTCAATAACACTCCGATCTCCGAAGGTCGGCCGCATCCCAATAGTTCCTACTTATTGGCCGTCGGTGCGCCGAGTAATTCGCATAGGAAAGTCCTCAATAAGCCAGATCCCCTAGGGCTCCAGAGTCAGCAGGCAGATCAAACGTGGGGAGCGGGTACTTCTCACGGCATTGGCAATCTGGAATGGCTTCTCAGGACGAGCCATACTGAAATCGAAACGCCTCAGCAGCTTCAGTCGTGTTAGTGGAGACTTCGTCTCACACACATCGCCCTAGCCGGAGACTCACCTCGACGAATATCTTGTTCAACTCCATCAACGCCACGGGCATGCCCAAACACTTGTACTTGCCCGTTGAAAAGACGAGGTCAACAACGCCTGCCATTTCCGCGAATCGCGCCGCGTTGGCCTCCAACCACCGCTCGGGCACAAATAGGGCTGCGTCGTCGCCGAATGTCGTCTTGGAATGGTAGATGCTAAATGGCGAGGTGCCAATCTGCGTACCTCCGGGGATGAACTTGCCGTCGATGATGTCGCCACCGGGAGGCACGACTTTGAATAGCGGGCCGGCGGCGGGTGCCTTCAGGCGGAGGGCCTCTTTAATAACAGCCTGGAGATAGGGCAGCTGGCGCGCCTCAGGATCCGTGACTGGCGATGAGACCCTGCCATCTCTGATAGCGTAGTCTATTTCCTCCTGGAGTTTCCTGTAGGCGCTCGGGCTGCTGAGGAGATGGAGCATAGCGACGCGGATAGTCGTCGCTGTGGTATCGCTGCCGGCGATGACATTGAGCAGAGCCTCGCGCTGGGCCTCTTCCTTAGTTAGGCCGTGCCGGATGAAGGAGCCGAGCATGTCAGGGTGGGAAGGCGCATGTGGCTCGAAGCGTTCTGCTACTTTCTTATTCGCGACGCTTGGGTGGAGAGGGATGTTAGTATTATGGACGAACTTGGAATGCATAAACTGGAGGAGCGTACCCAATAAAGGCGCCGAAGCCAAATTTGTCGCTCTCCTTGGGCAGGAGTCCCCTAAACAGTCGCGAATGCAGCAAAGAAACTAGCGCGGGGACATTTGCGATAACTAGGGTCACGGGAAAGAAGGCCTTTGTGATCTTGATAAAGTCGAAGACGTCATCATCCTGCTCGACGTAACCGAATGGCTCGCCGAAGGCGAGGTCGCTGATGACATCGAGTGTGAAGAACTGGATCTTCTGGGCGAAGTCCACCGGGCGGGATCGGTCGGGCGTGGAGACATACTTTGTGTCGAGGAGGTGGATCAGCCGAGCGATGTGAGTGTCGATGGTCTGGTTCATGGACTCGTTTTCCTTCCCCGAGTACTAGGTCATATTTATGAGCGGGCCTGATTCATCTGGATAGAGAAGATAGGAGAGAAAAAGCAAGCGCCTACCCCAGCAGCCATCTTGGCACGCATCTTTGTGTGTCTAACTTCATCCCGCGTCGAAAACAGGTTATCCTTGCCGGGCTCGAATCGAAGGGCGTTATACCCTATAGGTTAGGTTAATAGAGCATTAGCGTAATCTATGGAACCTAGTGCCGGGCGGGGGAATAGCTGGGTGGGTACGCACATGGGCCTCGAGTGTAGTCGGAACGAACTGCCATCATCCGACGTAGTAATTCAGGGTCGCCCGTTACCAACTCATTGGGGCCGATACGGGCGAGTGAGCCTACCCAGATTATTGTCAGTAAACACGCTGCTAATACTCTGGTAATGGAAGGAAGCCTCTTTTCCTAGTCCCCATCTTCACGTTCATTGAAAAGAAGAAAGCCCACCATATTCTGCTATCACGTTCTGAATGGCGTATGGCTGTGTCCCCTTGAGCGACTCCCTCACCATCCAATATTTGGAGAAGCCCGCCCAGAACGGACCGGGTACGTGAGACAAGCGGTACCATGCTCGCAGGGTACGTGCTAGGAACAGCGCAAGCAAGGTGCCGGCCACGGTGGCGACTGTAGGGATGGTACGAATCTGCCGCAGCAGAGACGACAGCGGCAGGCTTTGCACCGCGCTCATGGTGTTTGGACCAGACAGGGAGAAGACGGTGCCTCAGTGCTTGAAGTGCTTGCGGGTCCCACAACTTTTTTTTCGATGCTTTGATCGCGTTTCCGCCTTATTTATTGATCGGGTTAGCGGGGTCCTAGCGCGAGAAGGTCCGCGGAGGAGATCGGGGTGAGATTGGGTCGAGGTCAGGAGTGTATTGTCCTGTGTCCTGGGGGGAAGAAGCACTGTATCTACCGACATCTGAGGAGAACGTGGCGCAATCGATCAAGCGAATAGCTGGGGTAGTCAAAAGCCAAGGAATAGTTGGCCAATGAAGGAAGCTTCCACTGTTAAGAATCCTATCCGGACATGGAAGGCCCTGGACAGAGCGCCCAAAACCGGTATGGTTGTGGGCACGGACACTTGCCGTTCCAAGGAAATAGCAAGCACCAGATCGAATTGCTCTAATGCTAATGCCAGCCCAGTCCGACACAGTATTATTCGGTTGAACTCTCACCTCTGCCCCTCACTATGCTATACCCTTTCTACTGGAATACTTTTTATTTATAGAGAGCCCGCCTATTTACGCCCACTCTTGTACGGTAGCCTGCTTCCTCAAGTACAGTCCAGTCTACGCCTACGCAGCTAGCCTACCTGCCTATTAGCATAGACAACAGGCAGGTTAGCGTTTTATCAGTACAGCTCGGAGGCTAAAGGAGAACCCATGTGAAATTTTGCAAGCCGAACCCAAAAAAAACCCTAAAGAAAAGGGTCAAAAAAAGAGGACCGAGCGTGGATCGAACACGCGACCTGAAGATATTTTGCAGAAACTGCAATCTCCCGCTCTACCACTGAGCTATCAATCCCTGATTATCTGATAGTAACTCGAGAACAGTTGAGCTATTACGGTTAAGCTGGGGACACTTGCACCGGACCCTGAATGCATCGGCGAACTTGGATACAGTTATTACCCAAAGCCTGTCCGAAGAATTGAATGCCCCTCCTCTGTTTCTCTCCGAGAGTGGAGCAAATATAGCCAAGCATTGCCGTTGTTTGTAAAAAGCAACCATGTCAGAGTAGTCCATCTCGACTCTTCCAAGGCTTCTTTGGCACTATTCGGAAACAGCCATCATAAGGCTAAGGTAGGCAGTGACGAGTCTTAACGCGGAAATTAATGTGTCTTGGTGTATTCTAGAGGATAAGATTGAGTGAAACTGCGAGACATGAACGGTCTGGCCACGATTATGGACAGGTCGGGCCCTCGCCGTTTAGTTTAACAAACAACTGTTTAATAGAGGAACAGCCCCAATCGGCGAGGCGTGATCGCGGAATTCGCGTGGCTTGTTGATAGAGATGTCCTTGAGCTTGCACTCCCATCAAGGCAAGGCCGGGCCCTCAGGCGGACGAAGAGAAAGACGAGGCGGTGGAGCGGAAGTTGGAAATCAGTCGAGGACATGGGTAAGCAAATGGCTTTTCAAGCCTCATTAAGCCCATATTCCTCCGCCCTAAGAAGCTAAACTAAACAATCCTGCGGATCCGCCTTAGCTACCCAGCAGATTGTCAATTTGCTCATGGCGCTCCAGCGCATCCTGGAAGGTCGCATACCCTCCACCCTCAGCGAATGCTTCATACAACGCCCCGATGTTCCTACTCGCGATCGGCAACTCCTCCTGCCAGTCATACCATGCCCACTCAATAGGCGCCACCTCGTCAGTGGCATAATCATGGACCTCGATAGAAATCGGCTTAGAAAACACGGCTTGAACTGCGGGACCCGAGGGAGCGACGAGACGGAGCTCTCCCTTCTCTCCCTCAATCGTCCACACGAGGCCTGGCTCGTCCTTGAAGGCCGCTCCGCGCCGGAAGCGGATAGATAGAGTAGCGCCTTCGACGACGCGGGATGTCCCTGGCAGAGCACCAGATACAACGATTAGATCTGGGACGTCGGACTTGATAATCTCGATGATGGTGCCTTCGGGGCCGCGGATTTTGACGTCTGGGTAGCGGATCTGAGTGGTGGAGCTTGGGGATTGAATGACTCCTAGGATGTGCTGAATGCTGTCGGACACTGTTGCGGCATTAGAGTTCGGCCTAGCTGGTCAGGAGTGGAGTGAGTAGACTTACAGTGGCCAAACCCGATGGTAATGATATTCCCTCCAACCTCTTTCTGCGCAAAATACTTCAACCCGACAGGCAAAACACGCGCATCAATACTGCCTCCCGATGCCCTAACCTCGCTACTCACTACCTTCCCAATCCTACCCGAGTCGAGAATCTCCGCAACCTTCTTGTATATAGGTGCCACACGACCCTGTAACCCAACGGCGGCTCTCACCTTCTTCTCTGCAGCGAGCGACGCAAGCTCCCTCGCTATACCCGCATTCTCCGCTAGCGGCCACTCAATGATGACGTCCTTCCCAGCCTGGATGCTCGGCCGGGTGGTGGCGTCGTGCTTGTCGACGCGCGTGGCGCACACGACGAGCCGGACGTCCGGGTCGGCGGCGAGGTCGTGCGGGTTCCCGTAGGCGCGGGTTGAGGCAGGGAGGTTGTAGTGAGCTATGGCTTCACGAGCGGATGAGACACTGGAATTCAGGAGGGCGATGATATTGTATTTCTGACGGCCGAGGGGGGAGAGAAGGTAGGGGAGGTGGGCGGAGCTGGCCCAGGAGGTTGCGGCGGATGAGGAGAGCCCGATTATGGCGAGAGGGATTGGTGATTGGGCCATTTTGAGTGGATTGGCTATCAGACGTTGCTGAGCGGGCTAGATTTCGGATCGATAATTTCCAAGCTTCATCAGTCTAAACTAGGTGAATCTCAGATATATATTTATAGTTGATTGATAATACACCAAATGAGGTGATATCGCTAGGATGGGCACATCATCGCTGTATTGGCAGTAGCAGCATTATTAATCGCACTAGGATGCTATTATTAATGCACTCAGGAATGCCTTGACTCTCCAAATGTCGGGGTGTATCAGCACATATGCGGGGCAGCGCGCCATATTCAGACAGGTGCTGCTTCTCAACAAGTCTGGGAGCTATTGGTTTCCATTCCCGGTTTCAATTGTTATGGACTATACTAGTATTATTGACACTTCAGTCCAAGTTCAACTGCCCAACTTCAACGTAGGGGCTGATTCTTAGGTTGGTGATAATATGCCAAGCTGACAGCTTCGTATGCCTTCCACTCGACATTATACTGGCGGCCGTCTTGAGTAACAGGCCACCTATCACCTTTTCATGAACCTGAGGCAGTAGGTACGGTTTGTAAGGCGGAATCTCAATTCCATCATGTTTCCTCCGCGCCCCCAATCGTGACTTCTCCGTGTATCAGTGGGCAACGGTCTACAACCACCCAGTCTCTGTTATCAGATACCATATGGAAAGTGGGGATAATATACTCTGTACCGCGCAAAAGTTATCATCGACACGGCTCAACCAACCTTCCCGTAGTATCCGGGGGGGCGGAACCAAGATCGAAGAGTATATATGCACTTCGTTATATCTCACCTAATCATATCTTTGCAGTAGGATTGACCCAGGGCACGTGTAATATTTAGGCAACTATATCGGACAGTGCCCTGCAGGAATCGGCCCTATTACTGCCGCGGGGTAATATGCCGGGATTGTAATACGGTGTGGTACACCTTCGCTTATTCGAGCTCCTTAATTTGATAAACCATGCACTGGAAGCGAGGGTGATCGGTGTCTATAGACAACCTACTGTGTTTGCGGAACTGCCTCGACTTCCTTCGCGAACCACGTTCTCGTTCCAACCGCAGGAGGGTATCAGCGCCTCTGTTCATACAATATTTCGATCAACACCAATTGCCCTTATGACGAAAATCGGCCTCATGATGCTCATTTATAAGCTTGCATTTGCCGTGGCATTATGCGCCGCCACAGATGTCGGCCAGCGCGTGATTTTACCACCCGTAGCCCGCGCAGACTCGACCACCGCGATCCGCGACGAGCGCTTCCCCCCGCTTCTCGACGCGACCCTGGAAGATCTCGCGTCGGGCCTTGAGTCCGGTCTGTTCACCAGCGTAGATCTCGTCAACGCGTACATCGCTCGGATTCTAGAGGTCAATGACACGCTCAAGGCCGTGACGGAGCTCAATCCCGACGCGCTGTCCATCGCCGCTGAGGCCGACGACTCTCGCGCACGCGGGGAGGTGGCGGGGCCCCTTCACGGCATCCCGATTCTCCTTAAGAATAACATCGCTACCGATGACGGAATGTCGAACACGGCGGGGTCGTACGCCCTGCTAGGCGCGAAAGTACCCAGGGACAGCACGGTGGCGGCGAAGCTTCGGAAGGCGGGGGCCGTGATCCTCGGAAAGACGAACCTCTCTCAGTGGGCGAACTACCGGAGCTCGTACTCTAGCTCCAGTAACGGGTGGTCCGCGTATGGCGGGCAGACGGAGGGAGCGTATTACCCACAGCAGGACCCGTCAGGATCGTCTTCGGGATCCGGTGTGGCGAGCTCGCTAGGGCTGGCGTTTGCCTCACTCGGGACAGAGACGGACGGGTCGATCACTGGACCGTCAGAGTCGAACAATTTAGTGGGCATCAAGCCGACCGTCGGGCTCACGTCTCGGTATCTCGTCGTCCCGATTTCGGAGCGCCAGGATACCGTTGGGCCCATGGCGCGGACTGTGAAGGACGCGGCGTACGTTCTAGCCGCCATCTCCGGCCCGGACCCGAGGGATAACTACACGTCGTCTATCCCGTTCTACTCACTACCGGACTACGTCAAAGCCTGTGACCTTTCGGCTCTACAGGGGAAGCGTGTCGGCGTCCCGAGGAACATGATAAACCCCGCCGAGTATGTTGAGCCGATGGTAGCGGCGTTCAATGAATCCCTCGACATTTTCCGAGCTGCGGGCGCGGAGGTCGTGGACGACATCCGCCTAGAAGGCTGGGACCTCCTGGTCTCGAACGCCACCTTGAACAACATCTTGCCGGCGGACTTCGTGATAAACATCGCCCAATACTTCGATCAGCTGACCGTCAATCCGCACAACATCGCATCGCTGCCCGACCTGCAGAGCTTTACCCAGGGCTTCGAGCTTGAGGCTTGGCCCGACCGGGACACGGCGACCTGGGAGCGGGCTCTCGAGCTAGGTGTAGACAACACGAGCCCTGAGTTTTGGCCTATCTACTCCACCGCTTACTACTACGCCGGAGAGCTCGGAATCACGGGCGCATTGAGGAACATGTCTCTAGATGCGATAATCGTACCGTCGATGTCGGCGAGCCACCTGCCTGCCATTATTGGGGCGCCTATTGTGACGGTCCCGCTTGGAAAGATGCCAGAGAACACAACGGTAATCCGCAATGGACGTGGCGACCTGAACACCATTGCGCCAAACATTCCGTTTGGCATCTCGTTCTTGGGGGAGCATTATAGTGAGGAGAGGCTTATCGGAATGGCGTATGCGTTCGAGCAGCTTACTATGGCTAGGAAGAAGGTTGCGCCGTACATTCAGCCCACGACGGAACTGGGTAGCGTTGTTGAAACTAGGTGATAGGTCGGTAGCGTAGTAACGTGAGACTATATCACAGCAGTGCTTTTGATGTTCATGGGCGAGTCGATAACCTGACCACCATCCGTCAGTTCGACAATCTGAAACCTGCAGAGTGACGTGAACTGACGCTATGATAAGGACGGGCGAGTTTCCTCCCCTCGCATACCCTCTCTCGTCTGTCAGTCTTCGAGTAAGAAGAGCATTTGGGCTCTAGAGTTGTCGGTCTACGCAAGGCTACGTGGGGTGAAGTCCGAAGCTTGTTAATCACGGTTGGTTAGCTCAGTTGGTTAGAGCGTGGTACTAATAAGCTATCCGGCTTAACGGTAAATGCCA